CCTAAGCGACAGGACAAGACACTGTCTCAAACAAAAGAAAATACTTCAGAGATTATTCTCTATAATTTTTTCTTTTAATTAATTTTGTATGCATGGCTCATTAACCAAAAAACACTAAGTAAGATTTTCCAGAACAATAAACTACAAAACATCAAGTGGTTAAGCTATTAAAAGAGGAATATTTAAAAGTAAAAATATTTTACAGATAATTGTTAATTCTCTTATCATCAGTTCAAATCAGAACGTTTCCTATGGGTTTCAGATTTTTCAAAATTAACTCAAATTTATTTCAGTTTATGCTATTAAAAGAAAAACCCTGGGAGGCCGAGTCGGGTGGATCACGAGGTCAAGAGATCGAGACCATCCTTGTAAACACGGTGAAACCCCATCTCTACTGAAAATACAAGAAATTAGCTGGCCATGGTGGCACGTGCCTGTAATCCCAGCTACTCAGGAGGCTGAAGCAGGAGAATTGCTTGACCCCAGGAGGCGGAGGTTGCAATGAGCCAAGATCGCGCCATTGCACTCCAGCCTGGGTAACAAGAGTGAAACTCCATCTCAAAAAAAAAAAAAAAAGAAAGAAAAACCATGGGGGCCTTCCAGTTCATGGCAACAATGCTGATATACTTCTCACCCACGGAGTCCAGTCACTGAGTGATTCTAAGGCAACAACAAAACAACTTATTTTAACTTGTTTCTGCATTAGTCACGTCTACTCAGAGAGCCTCTCAAGAAATTATTTACATAAATTTTTTTTCAACTCATATAGTAGTCTTGTACTTGAAATCATAAAAATAAACACTATGAGAAAAGCTCAAGGTTATAACGAGTCTAAACTAAAAGAGAATCCAGCTAAAGCTGCAATTAATTTTGTTTCCAAATAAAGGGCTGTTTATTAGAGATTCCAATGTCACTCTGACCACTAAGATAAGTGATCCCATATTAATACCAGCATTTAATACAAAACAGTTTACCAGTGAGATCTTCATAAAAGAATAGACATATTGCTACTCAAAGGCATTGGACTATTTGAGAACTAGTTTTAAAAAGCAATTGCTTCATTTCTACATTTCTTAGTGAAAAAGTATCATTCACACCTGCTCTATCAGTTATGGTTAATTTTATCCCTAAAACTCTAGAGTTTCACCACTGTTTTCTTTTTATTCTTTTTTCAATGCATAGAAAAAAGTGCAACATGGATTAATCTTGTAGTCCAAAACTATTTTCTTTTACTTCCTGTCTATCTCTTAAAACCTTACTTACATTAGAAAAAAAGAAGAATTCAAGATCTTCCTTTTAACCTCTCCATTTTTCCAAAAGACTAACCTTTCACGGAAATCTTCAGATTTAGTTACAACATTTGAATATATAATCTCTGTATATAGTATTGACCCATTTATGTTAATTACAACCTAAATCAACTGTACATTTTTTAAAATTCATATATTTTCATCTCTTTAAGCTTTTTTCATCAAAGACTTGCCATTCTACTAAGTATGCAGCATGTATCAGTTTATAAATCAACATATACTGGTTCTTATTCTCAATTCTCTATTTCTCCAAGTCTACTGTGAGAGTGGCCACTAAAGACACAATGCCTTTTTATACCACTGATATTGAAAGACAGGATAAATATATCCCTAACTAACCTCTGGAGCTCACTGAGACCAGAAACCACAACTTATTCATCTCACTAGCAAATTTAAAAATGGTTTAGTACTTTTACCATGGTGGGTGCTTAATAAGTATATTGAATTATATTAAAGGCTTTTCCAATGTATTAATTGCATAAAAGACCAAAGAACCCATATTATTTCTGAAAAGTCAAATAAATTATTTAAGATTTTACTAAATTCTGAGAGTAGAATAAAGCTGCTCTTTGACTTTCTAGAAAGCCTGTTCCTCAGCTTCTAATACATAATCTAATTAAAACTGATTAATTATAACTAAATAATCATAAAACAGATACCCAAAATAACAATTCTTCTTGCTGAACAGACTAGAGTTTGTCACTAATTATTAATGTGTTTCAAGCAATTATTATTACGTTTGAATATATCCTACTACCTGAGTTTTCAGGAGACTTAAGCCCACAAAACTTCTATGAAAAAAGCAATTTCAGAGTAACATCAAACCAAAATTTAATACTGTTGGTGCAGAAATTACGCAAAAACAAAGAACAGAATTAAAGAAGATTGCAGAAAGGAAAAACAAATACTATATGATGACTGACACAGTGATATAGTCATAACTACTTCTTAATTTTTAATTCCTGTTCCAAGTTAAGAAAAGCTCACTGATAATTTATATTAAAATATAATATGGTCTAAAAGGATAGCATTGCCAATAAAGGAATTAGAATTCTAAATATAGCAGTGTATATTTAACATGTACTAATTTTAAACTGACAGAATACTGAATATGACAACTGATGAATTAATAGCAACATTCATGTACAGAAAGCAACAAACTTTCTAATGTAAAAAGTTTTGTTATTTCTTTATTCAAAACTACAACAAAGACATGCTCACTCACATATGCAGGATTATCCTATAAAAATAAATGCTGGACAACTGCAAGTTGTCATAGGATAAACATGCCCTATAAATATTTTGTTCTCAAAATACTTTCATTCATATTATGTGAATAGCTAATGTTTTCAGATTCAGCTATAGTATTTATGCTTTCTTGTGCAAATCTAGAATGATGATACCCACACAAAAGTAATTAACAGCCACAACATATCATTTATCAGTCATAAATTTCAGTTTCATGGTGGGATTTTTACTCAAACAAGTCTTTAAGCCAAACAAAGCTTCCAAAATGTTAAGTCAAAATTGTATCTCTAGATCTGTCAGATATTTTTATCTACTGGGTTGTACATTATCTCTGCTTTTTATTCCTCTTATAAGATACCTTCTTTTTCACCTTAAAAAAAATCTTCAGTAATGAATACATAGAAAGTGGTATCAACAGACTTACTGATTTACATTTTTGTGATTCTAACCAAGAACCACAGGGAGTTTGAAGGTTTCACTACAGATCTACTTGGTATCTAAATGTCCATAAAATAATGATGCAAAGCACAACCAGGACCACATGTAGTTTCTTGTCATTTATTCTGTGCAAAAAAAAAAAAAAAAGTGAGTGGACGGACATTATAACATAAGGAAGTATGGCTCACAGATGCAGAATTTTGATTAACTACTTTTTACTCTCAGCCTCATGAAAACAGTAAATACATTTCTGTTCCGCTGTAGGTTTTCCACATCCCCCACCTTAGAAACCTCAACAACTGTTCATTACAATTCTGCCGAAAGAAACATACCCAATTGAATTTTTTAAAGCGCCATAATGTTTCAGATGAAAACACAGTCTGCCAAAGATGTCATATAAAAGAATAACAAAGAAAGGGACAGCATTTTTAGAATTGAATTTCAATGCATAACCCCACCATCTGTCAACCAGTTGTGAAGCAATAATCCTAGAGAAACCCTGAAAACACGAACAAGTTTTATCCCTGAATCTATATTAACAGCCACTCCCAGGACCTCAGTAGTAATTATGTTCTGTCTGTGGAATAACCTACAGGAACATTTGCCATTGGCAAACTTAACCCTGGCGACGAATGGCCTGTTTTAGCTGACTTATATTAGGTAACAAATGGGGAGTTCAGTTCATAGAGGTAATGGGGGGAGGGGAAGACGAGGGGGCTCTTGAAATTTGGATTGGAAATTGAATACAGGAGGTTAATCTCTAAAGGCCTGTCATCCAAACAACCCTCAGTCTCCTCCCCCTTGGCTTCAGAAACAGGATTACAATTTTGGACCTAGACTACGCCCCACCCCTTCTTTTCCCGCTGCAACCACCACCACCTTCGAAGTTCCAGTCTTAGCTCTCACGCAAGTGGAGCTGGGACTCCCTCACCGAGAACCGCACTAGGAGCCCTTTCAGTAGCGAGTAGCGCGGTGGGACTCTGCCACCAGCTCCGCGACGCCGCCGGCAGCCAGCCCGGCTTGGGAGACCCCACCCCTCCCAGCCCGGCCCCCGCCCCCGCCCAGAGCCGCCGCCTGAGTTACGCAGCCTCAGCCCTGAGAGAACCACCTCTGCTTCTTTCCAACCGGATCACTTCGGGCTGGTCGCCGCGGAGGCGAGGGTAGCGCTGAACAGAAAAGTGGGATAGGAGAAGCGGGGAAGAACCGAAGCAGCCCCAATTCCAGAGAGCCAGGATGCCAGTGGCAAGACCCCGGCCACACACACACACTCCCCTGGGGGTCCTGCTCCTTGGGTTCAATGCCAAGTGACGCGAGGGTGGAAGGATGGAAGGGGAGGTAGGGTGGCGAGAAGGCCCAGAGTTACTGGGAACGACGTTCGGAGCACAGCAGCGGATGCTTCAGAAAGTGAGAAAGTCCCAGACCCCCTCCTTAGCCCCAAGGCTGCCAGCAGCTCGGGTCGCCTTCCCTACAGCGAGGCTCGGGAGACTGGGAGGGGATTCTGAGCCAAGTTTTCCTCAGGCTGCCCTCCCTGATCTGGCCCATGGCCCAGAACCCGGCCCCTCTTCAGCCCCGACTTGAGGAGGCTGCCAGACTGGCAGCGGACTTGCCAAAGGACTCTGGAGGAGCAAGAGAGCAGAAGAGGAGCATCTTGCACGCTCCGGCCGGGCTGCTCACGACTTCGTCTGCCGACACACCCCCAGCTAACCCTTACCCCGTCGTCACACATACAGATTCAGAGACACGCGTGCGTTCACCCTCCCACCAGCGCAGGTCCATCGATTAAAACACTAGTTGATTTCTTCCTGATTAATTAAAAAAAAAAAAAAAATAGAAAGTGCAACAGCAAATCCTCTCAGGAGTCCCCGGAGCAAAGAAAGTCCGTCTGCAGGCGTCTTTCTGTAGTTTCCCAGGAGTTTGGAAATCTGGAGGTCCCTACCGAAATGGGACTGAGACCCCTAGGGGTCGAAGGGCGCCTAACTCCCTCCCCAGCCCCGCACCTCTCACCTCCTTAAGTTCCTTGGCCACGTCCTTCAGGTCGCCCAGGACTAATTCCAGATCCTCCACGATGATCTTGATCTGTTCCTTCACCTTGGTTTTGGAGGCTGCCGGCGGCCCCTCGGCTGGAGAGGACGAGGAGGGGTTCCCCTTAGACTTGGCTGACATTCTTTGGGGGCAAGCGAGGCAGGTCAGGACAGGCGGGCGAGCGGAGGCTGCTGTGTGCCCCCGTCCCTGGCGCTGCTACGGCCGCTGCCGCCCCGGTCCCCCCACATCTTGGGCGCTCCCTGGGCAGCGGCGTGTGGCTGCGCTCCGCGCTCGGCCTGGCGGCCGCACAGTGCTGCTGCCATCAACTCCCGAGACGCGGCGCTCGGCGCGGGGCTGCAGACTGGCGAGCAGCGCGCCTGCGCCTCCTCCCGCCGCCGCCCGCCGCTCTCGCGCACAGTCGCTCGCACCCCGCCCGCTGAGAGGGGCGCCGGGCCGCCGCGCCAGGGCTGCCGCCTGCAGTCCCCTCGACCTTGCCCTTCGGGGTCTCTCCCAGACCACCTTGGCATCAAGGTCCGGGGAGACAAGTCTGTGTCCTGGTCGCCCCCTTCTCTTGGTTCTGAAATGTCCCCATCATCGCCTGCTGTGTGTCATCTCACAACTAGCCTGGATTCCTTCGGCTTCACTAGCTAGCAGGGACCTGGATCAATTCAGAAAGAAACACAGTGGGATCAGGAGTTGGAGACAGAGTCTGTAAAGTGATCCTACATGTTTATCCAAACCCAAATGATGTCCAAAGCCCTCTAATCACTCTACTGGTGACCTGCGAGTTAAACAGACTTAACTTCTGCAGGTAAAAAAAAAAAAAAGGGAGTGGGGTGCATATAATAACTAGTGCTCATCTACTGAAATCTTGAATTTAACCAGCGTTCTTGAAAGAGGTACCCTAATCCTGCTAATTCCACAAAGCTAATATCCGATTTATTAATTTGAAGTCCCCACACCCCAAATCCCCGGTAACTGTCTCAGTCATCTTGGCTGTATGTCTTATCTGGCCCAACTCTTTTTTTCTTTTTGTTTTCTTTTTAACTGTCCTTCCTCTTTTTTGTGACCTATGCTGATTTATATTTTGAGTGGAGTAGGGGAGACATCCTATTTGGACCTCGCGAAGGAGCTAAGAGTTTGCCTCCAACTTCTCTTTCATGCTTTTTAACTAAACCCTTTGCTACTAAACAAATAGGAAACAACTTTCTGACTGTTCTGTCAGAAAGACCCAAGGCGGCAGGTTAATAGGAAGCCTTCGGTTCATTCTCAGTAGGTGTCTACAATCCTCATTAGCTAGAGTTTTAATTTCCTTAGTTGCAAAGCCATGGGCTATTAGCTACTGACCTGGCAGGCTGACTCTACTTTATTTTCTTCACTGCATACTCCTCCAGATCATTCTTTTAATAGGCTTCCCCTTTTGGTCATCCCTTAGCAAGGCTCAGTGTTTCTTGCTTCTCACACTCTAGGTAACTCCACTGTGCTTCTACACATGAAGAAAATCTTGGCAGCTCTCCTCTTCCCAGTTCTGTCGGCGCTTAATCACTCTCTTCATACTGGACAATTCATCTTTACAAAATCTTTGGAAGTTATATGTGGAATATAGAAGAAGAAAGAGAACAAAAGAAAAATTGAAATGTGAAAGTGGTGTCAAAGGAAAACTGCATTGAAAGATCAGGGGAAGAAATGAAAGCTGAAAAGCAGATGCTGCTAGTAAGACAAAATAAGAAGAGATTATGAGAACAAGTCTGCAGCATGCAAACGGGAGAGAAGAAAAAGAGAAGAAATGATTAGAAGTGTTAAGAAATATTCTTGAGTTCTCTGAGGTAGGAAGAATTAGATTTTTTTAACATCCCTTATCTCTTCAAAGTCTTCATTTTATAAAAATATAACATTAAAAATAGTTATATCAGGTTTACAAACTCCCTCAACTGTTAAAAAGGGCAAGAGATAATGGTAGGGAAAAAAAGAAAGTACTATTCTTCTAGATTTGAATTATTTTTGGCTCTTAATAGTAGGCAAGTGGGTAAGAAAGCCCCAAACTCAAAGTTAGTTGACTTTAGGCAAGGATATTGGTGAGGAAAAAAGGAAATTGTCTTTTCCCTCACAGTGACAAAATAATCCTCCCATAACATAAGAAGAGGTCCATGCTACTCTGAATCTCATTCACTACAGATTTAAAAAAAAAAAAAAAAAAAACAGGCCAGGCGCAGTGGCTCACACCTGTAATCCCAACACTTTGGAAGGCCTAGGCGGGTGGATCATGAAGTCAGGAGTTCAAGATGAGCCTGGCCAAGACGGTGAAACCCCATCTCTACTAAAAATACAAAAATTAGCCAAGCATGGTGGCACATGCCTGTAATTTCAGCTACTCTACTCAGGAGGCCAAAGCAGAGAATTGCTTGAACCTGGGAGGTGGAGGTTGCAGTGAGCCTGAGATCGTGCCACTGCACTCCAGCCTGGGCAGCAGATCAAGACTCTGTCTCAAAAACAAACAAAAAAAGAAAGAAAGAAAACAGTACCCCTATGATATCCACTGCTGCTACTGAAACAAATAATTCTGGCTTAAAATCAAATCATAATTATTGCTTAGAACCACACCACCCATCCACACCCATATGACAATTCACTCTGAAATAATGACTATTGTCTATCTATCTCTATCTTAATACCATATGGAGTTAACCAAATAGGGAAAAGTTAAAATTGGCTTCCAGGCCCAAATTGAGAAAGCTGGTAGGATTGCAGCGGTGGTATCTATCCCTATCTTCTAGTCATTAGGTATCACTTAAATCAAATCTCCATAAAATATGTCTGAAGAAGAAACTTTTATAAAGAGAGTTAAAAATATTAAGGGGAAGAAGACAGAATAAAGAGGGCGCATGAATATAAATCAAGTGTATTTACTTCCTATCTTTGTATTACCCTATGGAAAAATCTTTCATTCCCTTAGGTAATCGTAGACTCTCTCAGAGATCAGTATGTATAATGTTTTAGACTCCAGTTCTAGAGACCAAACAGCAAAAGTGACACCTAATAAAATTTCTCCTAAATCTTTCTCTGAATTTCTTAATGTACTAGTGCAAGCAGAAATGTACACACCCAAACCAAATTACTTGTAAACTTAGGATAACACATTTCTAAATAAAGGAGGGTCTTACTCATTTATAAAAGTGATTGTAAACCCAGAATTTTATTTTTCCTGTCCCTCTATTCATCATTTTTTGAGTTTTGTAACAGGAAGAATTGGATAATTTCAGGAGATCATCTGGTTTTTTTCTTCAGTTACAAGCTTTATCCATATTCTGAAATGTGTGTGTGCATGTGTGTATGTTTAATCCACTGCAGTTGATCCCTAGTAATCCACAGAAAAAAATTCTGTGACACTGACATAATTTTAAATTCACAAAAAAGCATAAGAATATTTCCAAAATATTTTGCCCCGCAGTTCAGCATGGCTGGGAAGGCCTCAGGAATCTTACAATCATGGCAGAAGGTGAAGGAGAAGCAAGGCATCTTCTTCACAAGGTGGCAGGAAGGAGAAATGCTGAGTGAAGGGGGAAAAGCCCCTTATAAAACCATTAGATCTTGTGAGAACTCACTCACTATCATGAAAAAAACATGGGGGAAACTGCCCCCATGATTCAATTACCTCCACCTGGTCTCTTCTTTAACATGTGGGGCTTATGGGGATTACAAATCAAGATGAGATTTGGGTGTGGATACTAAGCCTAACCATATCAGTGATATAGCTGTGAAAAATTAGAAAAGTTTTCATACGTATATTTACTATTAAGCATATCTTATATGTCCAGGCAGTGGCTGGAAAAGACTAGTACCCATCAGAACTTGTTAAGAAAAAAAAAGATTACTATACTCCCTGCCTCAGGGTATGTGGTTCAGTACCTCTAGGGTGAGGTCTACAATGTGAATTTTAACAAATTTCTAGGCTGCTGGTAGGGGACCACACTTTGAAAACCACCAACATGAGAAATTAAAATAAAAACTTTAATTTTTTTTTTTACTTGGAATAAGCCTTAAAAATCACCTAGTTAAATTTCTGTTTGTTATAAGCCTTAAAGAGTATCTAATTAAATCTTAAATAAGCATAAATCTAAAGAGCATCTAGTTAAATGTTAAGGCTTTGATAGGCTACATGGCATATTCAATATATCCCATTTAGGAAACAACAAATTGAGAGCTAGAACTCCTTGTTCACTCATACATTTTGTAGACTTTTTTCTATTAGTCTGGAGAATGTCTCCTTTTAATATATCAACTTGTTTTCGCATCATGGCTGTGTCCTGTTGATGTATATAGGTTTTAAAAAAAGTGAGATCTGAGAGTTTAAATGCAAGTACTCAACACAATATTCTGAGTAATTAGAACTGTGTCTGTTGCAAAAAGTTTGATCAATAAATACTTAGCAAAATGAATGAATGAGTAAACTGTTTCCTCTGTGTTTTAAAATTAATTCAGTTCAACAAATATTTTTAAGATTGAGCAAGAATCTATGCTAAGAGTAGATGTGCCACGAGGTAAATTACATATAATCCCAGCAGGAACCATTGGATAATTCTCTACATGATGCTAATACAAAGTGGGTTTACTTCAGATCCTGCCCTCATTCTTAACTATAGTAAGTTCATTTTATTTGACTTCTGCTGTGGTCTGACTGTCCCTCCAGAATTAATTTTAAATCCTGTCTGCCAAGGTAATGGTATTAGAAGATAGAGCCTTTGGGATTTATTAATTCATGAGGACAAACCCCACATGAAGGGGATTAGTGTACTTATACAGGAAATGCCAGAGAGCTTCCTCCCCATTTCCATCACATGAGGCTACAGCGAGACCTGTCTCTAAGAGGAGGCAGACCCTTACCAGACACAAAATCTGTTAGTGCCTTGATCTTGGACTTCAGAGGTCCCAGACCTGTGAGACATGAATTTGTATTGTTTATAAGCCATCCAGTCTATGGTCCTTTATTATAGCAGCCCAAATGGATTAAGAGATCATCCAGTGTATGTTAGTTGGAAGACATTTTATCCAAGTGACAAAATATTTGGCTCAATTCAACAGAGAAAATTGTCTCATAGTTGAACCATAGAAAAGTGAGGATCAAAATAGCCTCAGGTAGAATTGGAGCCAGAAATTTTAGAATCATTGGGACTATTTCTTTCTGTGTCCATTTCCCACCTACTCTTTGTGGATTGGCTTCTTGCATTTTCTCCACAAAGTTGAATCTTGGTCACTGGTAAGTTCAGGCTCATATTTTCACAACTTTACAACTAGAAAAGGATGGTCATCATGGCAAACTTCCAGGAAGAAAAGTTTGATAGCTCCAGCTTGGATTATGGACACACACTTCAGCCAGTCACTGTGATTGGGACGGGGTTGTAGGG